TGGCAGTTTATCCCCCCTTCCCCACCGTACTTGCGTACGATACTCCTCTCTCTCTCTCTCTCACTCTCCCCGCCGTCCCTTACTGTTGCTGGTGGTGCATGAAAATATTAATTAAAGCGTTCGCACTCGCGTCTACCGGTAGCGACTCGGCGTCGGGGTGGACCTTGATACATCACGCGTTTGATGGAGCGTCGGGTGCACGAATGAATATGGAATTGGCAGCGCGCCGTGCCAATTACATAGCGTACTACTATCTCGTGCGCACGGTTATCTCGTGGAGAGAGCGAAGAAAGAAGAGGAGAGAGAGGGGATGAGAGAGAGAGAGAGAGAGAGAGAGAGAGAGAGAGAGAGACCTCCTCGTCACTTGCGGAATAGGTCAGGTTGAACTTTAGGACTATCGGTGATCGATGGCCTTTGAGCGCGGGAAATTGTAGCATTTAGATAGAACGCATTCTTACGAGATTGCGATTTGTACACGTACGTACATGGCACGTACATGGCACACATACACGCAAAGTATCAATGTACACACACACACACACACACACATACACAAGTACGTCGTCGGCCAGACGGGGAAAACGGAGCGGAATTAACGGCAATTGATCGGTTTATACTTCAGCTGCCGTTGTAAGACGCAGATAATCGTAGAAAATATTGCGAAATGTCAGCGGTGCAGGCTAGAGACAAGAAGAATGGACTCCACGTGCAGCTGCGGAGAGCGGAGAGGGAAGTATCGGCGAGAAGAAGCGTGAGCGTCATATCTTGACACGGCGGGGTGAGATCAAAATTAGAAGTGATCTCGCAGGAGGTCCAAGCGGCTGAAAAAAGACCAAAGGAATCATCGCAAGTCTGCTCTCCATAGCTGAAGCAGGTCGCATCTTTAGAGTGAAGAAGAATATAACGTAGCGAGAAGAGGCACGGAAAGTTCCAGCGCTGGTTCGACCGAAGAGGACAGACCTCGTGTGTGTTAACGAACGACACAGCAGGGACAATGTTAGTTGAAAAGACGGAAGCAGGAGCAAGAGGAAGAAGAGGAGAAAGTCAAATCGGAGGTGTCCGCAGCGAATTATCGCCAACGTCGTAACCGCTGATATCCGTTTGTGTAATGTGCTCGTCGACGGCGAGTCTGCGGAATAAAGCGGACACGAAGCGAGCTCACGGGACGATGTAACTTGGAGAGCTCCCCGAGCGAGTGACGTTTGAGGGCTCCGTACACGAGCGCAAAGCTCGTCCGAGTTGAGAAATCGGATTTATAGGATCGGTCTGGCCCGACATGTCGGACGGGGCTGCGGTTCTCTAATGCACTCCAACCACACGTAGGTTTTATTACATTTTTTACACCTTTCACGTCGCATTTACCTTTTGCTATTATTATTATTATTATTATTATTATTATTATTATTATTATTATTAAAGATGTATGAGTTTAATTAAAGTTAAGTAAAAATGTGATTTTAATATTTTCAATTATTTCACTGAAATGTAATATTTTATTCAGCACGCTGAAGAACGGAAGAACTCGGAAGGGACACCACGTGTCCCCTGATCAAAGGGAACATAATGATTCATTAATGTACCTTATGATTTTTCCATCTTTTCTATGTCATACGATAAGAAAAATTATACAAATAATCGTAATTAAAGTAATCAAGGCATATAGTGTTAATGACGTTCTGCTGGCATCGTGTATCGCTGCGGTGTTGTGAATATTGATCGACTGAACTCTTTGTTGACTAAAATAAACCGGCGCCAAATCAATAACAGAGATTAATCAATCGTCATTACACATGTAATTATGAATAATTTAATCAGCTGACGATACTAATCAGTAATCAGTAATCAGTGTATGTGTGTGTGTGTGTGTGTGTGTGTAATCGGTCAAACTGGAACGATCGTTGTACGTGATGACGATTTTAATTTTCATCATCTTGGACAGACAAAATTCCGCTCGATCAATATCCAATGCTAACTGCAGATGAATATCACTCAGCGAAAGTACAACAAGTCGCTGTCGACGACGACGAAAAATTTTCTCGCGTGTATCGCAGTCCCGACATTAATTTCCCGATCTTAATTTTCACGTGGTGAATCCAAGGGAGAGGGAGAGAGAGAGGGAGCGAATGAGAGCGACGGCGACGGCGACGTGTATATGCTGGGGGAAACATACCTGCATGCTCTCGTGTGTGATCAGCCGGACTCAGAGTCTCCCTCATTGACAGGGACATTAAGAGCTCCTGGGTGAGCTTCTGTTTGCCAAAGGCGACCGCACCGCTGGTCACCATGATGCATTCGCGACCCTCGTTCTGACACTCGGCTACTTGCTCGACGATGGACGCTAAACGTCCCAGAGCCAGGCCATGCTCGTCCTCCCTCGTTATAACGGCGCTGCCGAGTTTGACGACCAAGCGGCGGGCGTATTTCAATTCGCTGCGCTCCGTCAGGGTCTGCGGTCGTCGCGATCCCTCCGATATTTGCAGGTTGCCCTTTAAAAGTGTTTTCCTTTTTTCATTCGTTTTTCTCACTTTACAGATTGCGAGGCGCTGAAAGGAGTCGTCCTTTTCTCGCTCGGGGAGGGGGGGGGATATACGAAGGCTGTTTTACTAACGTTAATTAAATTCAAGGACTAACTTGAATTTAATTGATCATTCACGATGAAGTTAATCGTTAGGATTTAATTAACTTGAATTTGATTCATCGTTTTGTTGGAAAGAGACGAGAAGTAAATTCTTTCGTTATCTCGTTCTTATCTCGTTATCTTTCGAAAACACGTTTCAGCTTTACGGCGGCGGAACGAGAATTTGCGACCGGGACAGTTTAAAAAAAAGTCGTGAGGCATCAATCTTTGAAAATAGTTGGAGCTGCTCGAGGAAGAAACTCGGCGACTGAAATTGGGTCCAATAGACTGACACGATGCACCGCGCGGGTTATATTACGTTATATTACATTACAACGCTTGTCGCGGGTATCTTATTATACTCGCGCAACACGGAGAGAGCCGGCATTCTCCGGAGAAGTCCGGCGACGTGGGATCACGCGAGAAGTTGCCAAGTTATCGCAAAGATGCGCGGAAACGCCGCGGAAGATTGATATTTATGCCGGTGGAAAACGCGCTCTAGCCGCGGCCGGCATCATGCTTACGCAGATCGCATTTATTTCAATATATCTTCACGGCAACGCCGACGAACTTCCGGAAGACGAAATTACGTCCCATTAATAGATCTTCCAATCCGTCAGCCCTTCCTCGCGATTCTCCGACACTCGCGGTCGGGATGAGAGAGAGAGAGAGAGAGAGAGAGAGAGAGAGAGAGAGAGAGAAAGAGAGAGAGAGAGAGAGAGAGACGGCGCGGGCGCGAATGGTATTTTCCGAGAGGGCGACGTTTAAAGCGCGAGATTATCGTCTGCGCTGCCTTATCACTTCGCGCGCTCGATGACGTTGCTAATTCCACCGGTCGCGGCGCGTCTAATGAAACGCACCGCGCGCGGGTGCGGTGCATAATGAGAGCAGTTTCATTAGAATCTCGTTTGACAGCTTGTTGACGCGTGGCGGAATTGATACTCGATCATCGGCACGCAACTTGTTACGCTCGTCGTCCATCAGTGTTCACGTGATCCCGCGATGCAAACGCGATCGCGAACGATAGCAATAAACAGCACTACGCGGCGATGAAACGCCGTTGGGAGAAGCTCGTCGGAAAATTACCCTTTCGCACTCGCGCAAGTAAGTGAAAATACGCCTCGCGAGAATATTGGCGACTCTCATCGCGTTCGCACGAGCTCTTCGACACGACGGAAAATTGCGACTCGAAGACTTCGGTCGTAGGAAGACACACGAATGCCAGCAGCTCCCGCTGATCGCAACGGAATATCCTCGGATGTTTCAACTATCTCGAGTTTACTTAGGATGCGATAATCGAATTGTACGATGATAGTCTGTATAAATATTTGTTTTTTATTAAAACACAATTAATGCACGTGATAGTCGATGAACTTTGTATTTTCCACGATTTCCACATACACGTATCGCGGCGATAAGCATAAAATTGAACACGGAAGAGAGAGACACGGTCAGGCTCGCGTTTGCAGGCGGTCAGACGGGAGTTTCTTCGTCACAACAAATACGATTCCACGCGCGGCGCGAATGTAAACGCCGCGCGATAAAGACGTTTACGCGCTGATTACCGATCGCACCGCACAGCAAATTACTTCGTAATCCTCTCTTATCTGCGCGTCGGAAGACGCGGCTTTATTTTTACACGTCACTCAAGCCTTTCCCTCCCCCGCCCTGATTGTGGACAACGCGCGAGAGAGTGCACGGGGTGCGTGCTGCATCCCATCAACGTGAGCAATTTCATCCGCGGGAAATTGACGCGAACGAGCTCCGTGCGAGCGTTCGCGTCTTTCTGCGAGAGCTCTCCCCCTCCGTTTCTCTCTCTCTCTCTCTCTCTCTCTCTCTCTCTCTCGACCTCGGTAATCGCGCTCCGATGAATATTTTTATCGAAAGCGGCCGAAACGAAGGCGCCTGTGATCAATCGGGAGATAATCGGCGGATTATCACGCGGATTCGATAAATGTCGAAATCTCAAAGTGTGAGAGAAACTTATGAATTTGTGGAGTGCGCGGTGGACCAAACGTCAGTCGATTCCTCTCGGACGAATATCGTGGAAACTTGAGGAAGTTTCCGAGGGGAACTCCCCGCCGCCGGAACAATTACGTTCTCCGTACGTACGATGAAAAACACGCAACAGAAATCTGAGGGATGATCGAGCGATTGCGAGCGGCCGGAGAGCTTTCCGAATAGTTTTCGATCGAAATAATTCCATCTGGAAAACATAACGTAAATAATGTAAATTCGAGAAATAATTGAGAACGATCCCGATCCCGGAAAGCTTCCCGGACAGTTTCACGATACCTGTCTCTCCTGCTAACCCTCTCCGCGCCTCCACCATGTCCCCGCTGCACCGACGCACAGTGGGGTCAGATGACATTTTTTGGTTCAAAATTCTTCAGAGACCTGAATTTCCCATCGATCATCGACACCAATGGATGAGGTTGATCCTAAATAAATTCCAAAGAGATCTGTCCAGCCGAAATTTTGAAAAAATTATCAGTTCAGGGTTTATGGGTTTAGGGTTTGTCTTAAAAGTTTCGAGGCTCGAACTTAATGTTTTATAGCTGAATATTCAACGTCGAGTGTATTATTAGGTTCTCGAGCTATGGCTAGATTGGGTTCTTGGACCATTTGGAGCTCTTAATATATATGGTTTCATGCATCCACGAGCTAAAAAGTTCTTGGATTGATAGATTCCTAGGTTGATGGGCTTAAGACTCAAAATCCCTCGGTTTTGTGCTTAACGGGTCTATTTTTGATGTTTTTGTATTTTGGGCATATGAGTTTTGGATTAATGGGTTTCTGGCTCAAGATCGATAAATCTCGAGGTGTCTGTTGATTGGTTTCATAGTTTCAATCCGCTGAATACGCTATTAGATAGAAATAAGTGTCGAATAATGAGTATTTCACGAATTTCTCGCGTTTAACGATAATTTTTCCTCCTTTGGGGCTAGTAATTTGAGAAAAAAATTTTCTCTTTAATTTTGGCAAGACAGATCTCTTCGGAATTTATTCAGGATCATCCATTGGTGTCGATGATCGGTTGGAAATTCAGGTCTCTAGAGAATTTTCAACCAAAGAATGTCATCTGGCAACGGTGCCCACTGTGCAACGGTCGTTCCAACGAAATGCGTCAGCTCCGTGGCTGATAATACATCCTCGTTGTCGATTCTTTTGCGCCGCTCCATCGCGAGCGTATCTCATATCTGGGACGGCGGCGTTGATGACGAAAACGCGTGCGTGTCGTGACGCGGAATATCACCCGATTCGGACGTGCAACTCCGCACACGGCTGAATGCGTGGATGCGCGTTATCATTATCAGTGCGCTGCTGAATTATCAAGGCATCCACAACTGCTAGTCTCGAGAGCGCAGAGTCTCCGCTCGCGAGACGCAAGCCGCGGCGGCTCGGCCCGCGGAATTGGACAATGATTTTTCAAATCCGCGCCGTCGAGCTTTGTCGTCGCGTCCGATAGCGAGCGAGCGAGCGAGCGAGCGAGCGAGCGAGTGAGCGAGCGCGAATCCATTTCCACCGACGGAAAGTTTCCGTCGGCGGAACGGCGGCGGCTATCAGCAGGCGTCCGCGGACGTTCCGACGGGAGAGACGACAGGCGCGCGTCGTATATATTTATAACGCGCGCTCTCTCGTTTTATTAGCGCAGCTTCCCGGTTTCTGGTTCCCACCGGAAATCGCCGTGAAGAAGAACGTCGCTGCCGCTTCGCGGGCGGCCCAGCATCGAGCCCGAGAGCAGCTTCCGGGCGACCCGTGAAACCACGATAGGCCCCGGTTTTCACACAGCTGGCGTGAAGTCGCGTTATCGCGCCTCCTCGGATTTACGAGCGCTCGTAAGCCGAGGTCTGTGTTTCTCTCTCACACACACACACACACACACACACACACACATACACACACGTTACCTGCAATGCCACCTCGCGAATTGTCTCGCCTTCGACGGCGGCGCACAAGTTGGGAGTCGGACATGATGCATAATAATATCGCTGTTGCACGTACTGTTTGCTGCTGGATGCGCAGTCCCGCTGACGTCGTGGCGAGTTTTCGCGAGTAACGCCCGAGCCGGGCATATCTCGTAAGCGACAGCGTCGAATACATGGCGGCACCCTGCCTGGCCTGGCCTGCCTGCCTGCCCGCCTGGTGTACCTTGTTCTTCTTCCTTTTCTTCGGGGGACCCCCCGACGACGATTAGTCAGCCGTTTCTCTCCGTCTCTCAGTTTTTGCGGCCGACCCGACACACGGTCTCGTGCACGGAGATTTACGGTCCACGATTACGAGCGGCAAGATTATGATTATCGAGCACCTGGCTCGACTGGCAGAATCGATTATTCCGTAAAGTCCCGCCAATTCCCGCCGTGATGACCACTACGGGAAAGATTGATTACCTGGCCGCGGCAATAGCGCCGAGATGTCACATTGGCGTTGTCGACTTCACCGGTTAATCTCGCGGTTATGGATAGGCCAGGTGAAGAGCGGACAAACAGGATGGTAACGCCGCGTCGGTCCAATCGGATCGTCGATTCTGCCAGCTCCAGCACCCGGACCGGCCGAAGGGAAGAGCACAGGGGAGCGGAACGGCTCGCGACGGACGGAAGCGGTGCCGATTTCGTGCCTCGTCGCCGAGGTGTCGAGCAGCCACGGCGATAGTCTACGACACACTGCTGCGTTTTGCATGATTCAATCGTATCGGGAGATGTTGTTATCATGTCTTTAGATTAGAGACGAACCTTTCAGTAAACGGGGGAGAAGAGAGAGAGAGAGAGAGAGAGAGAGAGAGAGAGAGAGAGAGAGAGAGAGAGAGAGAGAGAGAGAGAGAGAGAGAGAGAGAGAGCGAGAGAGCGAGAGAGCGAGAGTGAGAGAGAGAGAGCGAGAGGGAGAGCGAGAGAGAGAGAGAGAGAGAGAGGGGGAGAGAGAGAGAGAGAGAGAGAGAGAGAGAGAGAGAGAGGTGTCTCAACCGGTGATCGGTAACTGACGGTGAGGAGCAGGAGGAGGAGGGAAATCAGTGACGTTCGCGCGTGTCGTGTACGCGTGGATTCGAGAGATTTATCGTTTTCCGAGCGTTTTCCTGCTCATAACTGCCGAGGTTACGCAAAGTCCAAGTCTGCCGCGCCCGCTCCAGCGTGCTTTATGGGCGATGAGACGGGCGGGCAGTATCGTGCCTGTTCACTCGTTCACGTCGGTGAACTTCGACCCCGAGAATTGTGAGTCGCGTAAACACTAGCGATATCACGGAAAGAGTCATTTTTTCGCTACGTCAACGCGATAGCAGCGCGAGTGAGATCTACATTCGATAAGCAATCGAAGTCGTCTCGCGAGGGACCGGTGTTCTATGTGTGCGTGAGGGGGGAGAGGCAAGCCTCAATTAACGCCTTGGAGCGGAAGCTCAAGAGCACAAGAGACTCAATGGCAGACGGAGGCGTGTAATATCAAAGTGAATAAACAATGTGGAATCTGTAAAAGAGTCTAGTCAGCGGAGCTTTTCCATGCTCGCACGCGTCTCTCGCGATTGTTGTCGGCTTGGTGGGAACGCGTCAATCGCTAATTGACGACGTGGTTGAATATATCGCTGATGATCGCGAGGGGTTTCAGAGACGATCGGTCACGCTTGCGACGTGTAACGTATCACGAATCTACGGTCTGTCTCCTCGTCCTCTGAGATTTCGGAGATTCGCTCGCATCGCGATTGAATCAGCCGCGTATTGCATCGCGCCAAACCATGGCGGATCACGTTGCGGATCGGGTCGCGCGCGGAATAATACGCGGGCGCGAGCGAATGATCGAAAGTTCACGTAATTTTTCTGCTTCCAAACGACGCATATTAAATCGCGCGCGCTGCCCCGCTGCTACGCAGAGATTAACGTCATCGTATTCATGTAAACAAATTTCGCCTGCATTCTGCAGTATTCCGCGAGAACGAACGCGCAGCGGGGATATCGGTAAAAGGGATCCGCAAAGGGGATCTCTTTTTCGTTTGTTTTCTTTTTTTTTTTTTTTTCTTTACGCGGAGAACAATGAAAAGCGCGGAGAATGAACAAGCGCGGAAGCTCGGGTGCTTCCTAGATATACAGATATATTTCTCTTCTTCGATACATTTAGGACTTATCTCCCGCGGGCGAACCAATAACCCTGCAGCTAATATAAATGGTACTCCGCGAAACGGTAAATATGGATTAAACTGTGTGGTAACGATACGAGCAACAAGATTACATCGCGTAATAATAAGCTGCGTGGAGAGACAGAGAGAGGGGGGGGGAGAAAGAGAGAGAGAGAGAGAGATTGTTTTTAATTATTTTGAAAAAGATTAATACAACGTCATCGCGAGCTGTGACATTGGCAGAATTGATAATATTCAATAACGACGATATGAAGAGAGATAGAAAAGAGAGAAGAGAGAAAAGCGCGAGAGAGAGAGAGAGAGAGAGAGAGAGAACGGTATCCACTTAGAGACACGTGTTGATAAACTAGATGATAACGCGAATCCGCTATTTGAAATGGCGCTGAAAACTTTCTCTCTCTCTCTCTCTTTCTCTCGCGCGCGCACGGGCGGTGATTTATCAATTAAGCGAATCCATCGGCGGAAAAGTCCGTCGGCGAAAAGGCTGACAGGCAAATAATCGAAAGCCATCCTTCTTGCTCCAACTTTTAGCTTATAAATAATCCCCTCCCAGGATGCTTTGTCACAAGTGGCTTACAGGCTGAATGAAAGCCTCGCGCAGGTAAAATGTATGATGTAGGAATACTTCAACAACGCTGTCAGAGTTCGATAGTCTACCTATCACCGCATTCTTTTGTCGTAATATGTAATCCTCGAATAAATTTCTCTCTCTCTCTCTCTCTCTCTCTCTCTCTCTCTCTCTCTCTCTCTCTCTCTCTCTCTCTCTCTCTCCTTTTCCCTTTTCCTCTCTTGACGAGCCTCTCTTAATTCATATTTATTCGCGTACTCGCGGTAATGATTTTAAAACGAACAAACTTGCACACAGCGGTCGGTGTGTACTTTCCGGTCACTCGACGGTTTCGATTGATACATTAATAAACGCGAACTCTCCGCGGCCAGCGGCGGAATTCAACTCGCGTCGGTAGATTCGCTCGGGCGCGATTAAACGAAAATTAAGCGGTGACCTTTTCTCATGACGCGAACACCGCCGTGATAGCGTACCATTCTTCTTGCAGATAACGGAAAATAAAAAAATTTCGCAGACGGTCGCGATTTTTTTATCGGAAGCGGAGTGCACGCAACGTGTGTATTCCAGAGCCGCGAATGAAATATTCGTATAATAAGCACGCGCAGAGCGAAATCGCCTGTCGGAATAAGGTACGTCAAGTCACATCGCGCTTTTGGCTCTCGAGACGATATAGATTATAAATTACGTATGATAACACGATTGTGCGCGTGTGCGCTAATGCGCGTTATAAGCATAGGTATCTATAATGCGTCCTTCTCATTATCGAATGTATTGTATACGCGGAACTATCTATTCGTTATTGTCGACGATCTGTCTCGATTGATAATACAGCGTGTGAATGCCTTCGACAGCTTACTCGGTCGTATCGATTTATCTATTATACACGATGCCCGCGGCGGACAATGAAGATTGAAAGCTATTTACATGTCGCGAGCGAGCACGCGCGACGAGCGTAACGTTATTGGCCGAGAAATAACGAGAGCGAGTTGTAAGGCGATTCTCTCTCTGCGCGCTCTTTCGGACACGTGATTCCTAAATCCCGCGGGAATCATTTCGTGTGGGCGGGAAACTAACAGCGCCGGGAGATCCCTCGGAAGAGAGAGATACGCGACTCGTGTTTCCGCTTTCCGTCATAAACACAACATCCTACGATTTCACAGTTTGATATTTGCATCCGCGAGCGGTATCTTGAATTTTCATTGCGATGTGTTACAATACGAGCCGCAGTTTTGAGTGAATCTTGAGCGCGTCGGTGAGATAATTAGGAAGTTCTTGCAATGCAAAGTTCTCGCGCACGGTCCTTGTGTCCCATTCATCCCTCTCCCTTTTCTCTTTCCATCCTTTCGCCGGATAAAGGTAGCGTTAAATAAAAGTTTCTCTCTCTCACTCTCTCTCTCACTCTCACTCTCTCTCTCTTTCTTCTCCCTCACTTTCTCTCTCTTTCTCTTTCTCTTCTTTTCTCGTTTGAAACAATTTTCATCTCGGTCTTCTTCACCACTGCGAAGGAAAGGGGGAAGGATAAAAGGGAATTTCTGGGTTTTAACGTTAACGATGAGAGAACCGGTGACGCGATGGAACAGCGCGTTTTTAATCAGATATTCATTCGCGACAGGACTATTCCCAACGTGGTCGGAATGAAAATGGATGATGCACGCTAAGCTGTGCAGCGCGACTTCCGCGCTACCTGCATCATTTATACATTGCCTAATGAAGATAACGCGTTCTTATTTATTTGCCCGCTCGGTGTCGGCCGCCGAGTAATTAAAACGCAGATAAGAAAGTTTGGCGTCCCGCGCAAAACTCCCCCGGAATGGCACCGCGCGGCTTCCCCCGGATAACATTACCGAATTGAATCGACGCCCGACCGCTGTTAAACCGCGGTGCAACACACCGCGACGGTGAACAAAAAGCGAGCCGCCGAAGAGAAAAAGCGATCGGGCAGCCGGGCATGAGGTTAACGACATCCGACGAGGAGTTTCTGCGCCGACGGAATGATATCGTATGGTGCAAAAGCGGAAGAGAACAGAACGATAGAGGGAGAGAGAGAGAGAGAGAGAGAGAGAGAGAGAGAGAGAGAGAGAGAGAGAGAAAGAGAGGGGGGAGGGAGAAGGAGGAAAAGAGAAAGAAAAGAAGAAAGACAGCTGTCAAGCGGCGCTGGAGCAAGGTGCGCGATGCATTTTATAAAATGCCTCCCCTTTCTCTCTCTCTCTCTCTCTCTCTCAACCCTCGCGTGCACAGCATCCCCTTCGATGTCTACCGGTCCGAGGTGTGCTAGTCTCTTTAACTATCCCGTTTTTACTCTTTCCGCTGAATGTCTCTCTCTCTCTCCCTCCTTTTCTTCTCTCTTTTCTTCTTCTCTCCCCGCTCTCACTCTCCCTTTTGCCACCTTTCTCCACTCTCGCGGAGCAAGAGAGAGCAATCTCTCGCGTTCGACGGAAGCCTGCGCAGAGCGCGGACCGCTCAAACGAGGGGCAATATCGGGCGGGGGTGGCGGCGGCACCGTCAGTTGTCGGGAGGGAGCGTGGGAGAGCACTCGCGAGTGGGAGGAGGATCGAGGGAGGCTGCGGGTCGCGAGCGAGAGCGAGAGGGTGCGTCGCGCGAACAGCGACCGATACGAGAAAGAAGGCGCGACACAGCGTTAGGGACGGAAGGGTTGGCGGAGTAGAGAGAGAACGTCCGCGTCTTTTCGACGTCGACGCAACCGGGTTGGCGCAGAATAGCTGCTCAGTGCTCGTCGAACGGCGCCGCGCTGCGACGGGATCATGCCGCCGCGCCCTGCGCCACCGATCGACCGATCTCAGGTACGCGAGAAAGAGAGCGAGAGCGAGCGAGAGAGAGAGAGAGAGAGAGAGAGAGAGAGAGAGAGAGTAGAGCGAACGATAGAGAGATCATCGTCGCGGTGAAGCGCGAACCACGACGATCGTCCGCGTCCACGACGCGGAAGTCCCTCGCGAAAGTTCGTGCTTAGGGGTGAGAGAACTCGCAAGCGCGGAACCACGACGATCGGGGGTGCATTTGCAAGGGTGAGAGAAAGAGAGAGAGAGAGAGAGAGAGAGAGAGAGAGAGAGAGAGAGAGAGAGAGAGAGAGAGAGAGAGAGAGAGAGAGAGAGCCCTCGGTCTCCGGCGAGGAGGTCCGTCTTGGTTTTTGGTTGCACATATAGTTGCGCGCATATATAATGCAAACATGTTGCGAACAACATAAGAAACGCGTGCTCCACGAGAGAGAGAGAGAGAGAGAGAGAGAGAGAGAGCGTGCAAACCCTCGAGCGAGCGATCCCTTCCGCCGTGATGCATGCTTTTGGAAAGTTGCGGAGTGCCTCCTGCGGCCGCTATCTCAGCGGATTCCCTGACAGGATTTTCGATACTCTTCGTGATCGATCGAGACGCTCGCATCGGGGAATAGAGGTGTATCGTACACCATCAAGACGCGTATTCCCGCGAGTTTCGATGGGTTTCGTCGCCAACTTCGGTCTGATCGCTTCTGATACGAGGGGTAGAGAGAATGAGAGTGAGAGTGAGAGTGAAAGAGAGAGGGAGAGAGAGAGAGAGAGAGAGAGAGAGAGAGAGAGAGAGAGAGAGAGAGAGAGAGAGAGAGAGAGAGGATAAGTTGCATGGAGTCAGTTAGTAGGTAGGTAGATGGATAGGTAGATAGCGAGTGAGAGAAAACGAGTCCTCTCTCATCCTCTCGTAATTTGCCCCATTATTTCCCCGGGGATAGCGCGCGATCCCGCCGTCGACGATCTGTATCCTCGACTTCAAACGTTCGCTATAAATTGGTATACTTTGCTCGTTGCTGAAGAGCGATCGTGCTCGGACTCGCGCTCTTCCGGAGGATACGATGATTGAGGATCGATTGCAGCGGCACGCTTCCTCGATCCAACTTGCTCGACTCGAGTTTCGCGACGCTACTTCCCCATCAGCTGCAGGAAGTAGCCGTGATTCGGAAGAAAATTCCGTCGTCGATACTTGCTCGAATCGCGAGATTCGCCTTGAGTGTCTCGGAGCCGCTCTCTCCGAGCACAGCCGGCGGCCTTCATCGGTGTACTTTTCGCGCACGATCGGATACAAGTTGACTTATCGCGTTCACCTCCCAGAAGATGAATTCTTCACTCGACGAATCCGCGATCACGTAGATTCCCGTATGGAAATCCTCTACATTCTCTCTTTCTCCTTACCTCCTCCTCTCCTCACCAGTCGTCGTAATCATCGAAACAACCGTTTGACTTGGCGAATGTTACGGGAGTTACGCGTGTTTCGAGCATCCACTCGGGACGGAAGCGTTACGTGTCTCGCGAGAGCTTTTACAACAGTTAGAGCGCGACCAGTGGAGGTGTTCTTCTAGGCAAACGGTGCAAACAATTAGATCACATCTGCGGCCAGGCTTTATTGGGCCATGGAATGGCCTTCGGCTCTTCGACCGGTGATTCGCGCGATGTTGTTCGTTAAATATTTTTTCGACGTTGTCCTGTGGGAAAAGTCGGGAAAAGGAAAGGAGGAGAAACAACGGAGAAGGAAGAGGAGAGAGAGAGAGAGAGAGAGAGAGAGAGAGAGAGAGAGAGAGAGAGAGAGAGAGAGGAAAGCGAGAGCGAGCACGCGTCTCGAGTAGATTGTAACACGAAAATATATCGCCAAACTTGCTATAACGAGCCGTGCGTTTACATTCTCGTAACGAGCATCGTCGTGGATTTATTCGTGCAGCGACAGGATCGCGATAAACCGTGCGCCCGGCTTTATTAATGGCGAAGATATACAAAACTGGATCACTTGCACTTATAAAATATTTGCTGCCCTCGAGCGCGAAACGTGTCCTTCGTTCGTTAGTTTTTTCCTTCCCTACTTCTTTCTCTCGCGCGTGTTTACCACGATATGCTGTCGGATGTTCGTTCCTGTTGCCGTTGCTGACATTTCGCAAAAACATCTCAATCCTGAAGCCCCGCGTGTGTAGTAGTTAAAAAACATTTCGAACCAATGAGAGAGAAGTGCCGGCGTTAACTAGAAAATATCATAATATGCGCAATCGGAAATGTGTGTACAACGGACACGAACATGCACATCTACGTGAGCATACGCGGATATTATATACACGTGCAATTGAAAAGTATCGGTAAATTTGTTACGAAAATTGGATTTCGATATTTCTACAACTTTACGTACATTTACATCATTCAGTCGTATATTTTGCGCGCGGTTTAGCATTTTGTATCCGACATATTTTTCTTCACTTTTTGCATATACCATACATCGCGGTTGCCGTGAGAGCGCGTATATTAAAATATATTTCTATTGAAACGACACCAAACGATTTTTAACATCGACCGGAAATCGTCCGAAATCGTTCCGAATTCGCCGGTGGATCTCTCTCTCTCTCTCTCTCTCTCTCTCTCTCTCGTCTCGAGCGTGTTACGTTCGCGTATAAACATTTTCGCAAGATGCCTCGCGTTGCTCTCTCCACAACTTACCATCCTTTTTCCCCTTTCGAACCCTGTGGATCGACGTTATTCCACTATGGTTGTTTACAAATCCTCGCGTAGGCGGTCTGCATGTGCGTGAAATTATTTTTATACACGCTATGCACACACGCGCACGTACGTGCGTGCGTGCGTGCGTGCGTGCGTGCGTGCGTGTCAGTTAAATAACTCAAAGCTTGCGGATTTGCAGGCGATTACAATCGCGAAAAAAATCTATTTCCCTAAGCCCAGCTTCGATTGCGGCCACGGTTTTTTTAGGTCCGTCACAATGACGAGGTGTGCGCGCGCGCATAGCTCCATAGCGACGGAGATGCTCGACGTGCGCCGGTAACGTTAGTGAATTTTCGCCGCACAGGAAAGAGGCATAGGTTATTGATTATCGTGAATGGCTTTATAAATAACTGATCGTGTAGGAGCACCCGCCGGAGACGCGTAAATATCGCTCGGCGAGTCGTTTCTTTAAAATCGTTGCCGTCATTGTTTTCGGTCCTTGGCGAGGAGAAATCGGGGGCAGATTTCCGCGGGAGGGATCGGTGGATCGTAATTTGTAGTTGATCGGATCCGCGAATCCGATTGTTCGTTATGGTTTTTCGATCACGGACAGTCGCCAGCTGACTCGTACTGATGGGAAATAAACCCTTGGCACGAAGCTCCGCGCGAAAGTAAATTAATTAAATATGCTGCTTCCGCAGAAATTTGCTCTTTCGCGAGATTATGATAATCAAATCTTGCTCGGGAGCAACAATTGGCTGGAAAATCTTCAGCTTTTGCGTCGGACACGGATAATCCATCTTGGCGCACGTGTGATGTTGATAAAATAATTTCGGAAAATATGCTATCATTTCATCCTTCTCCCCCTCTTTCTCTCTCATTGTCCCTGTCTCTTTTTCCCTGTCGAACTTTATTAACGAACTGCAACGTGTAATTTAATCGGAACATGTCACGTATTTTCGAACGATTTTCCTTCTCTTCCGTGCGAATTTCTGGAATTTTCCGACCGATTATTAATTCGCACGGGCCGAAAATTGAAGTTTGCCAACGCGTTCTAGAAATTCACTTACGCATGAGAAAGAAACTTATTCACGGCGTGACGAGTAATGTGAGACAAAATTACGGATTGCGTCCCTCGCTCGAAGCAAATTACCGTAGGAGAGGAATTTCACGAGAAAAAGAAAAAAAAATGGGACCTTTTTCACAGAACTTCTCGCATTGGTTGCCTGTCACCGAAAAAGAGAGAGGAAGAGAGCTTGACTGTCGCGATCAATCAGGAATGTTCTTTCAAATTGCCGAAAGTGCCGATGCGCGGCGATATATAGGACGATAGTAGTAGATTGACCGGAAGTGAGTCGTCCATTGTACTCGTACGGGATCTCTTCCGTACGAATAATCTCCCACTACTACTATTATCACCACTACCACCACTTCGGCTACGGCGAATACGAATATACGTACGAGTGCGGCGCGAGTTAATACCGCTGATAAATGAAAATTATTGTACGTAATGCGATGATGGTTCGTCGTCGTCGAATTTAATGTATGCATTCTGCCAGAAATTAAAGCGACTTCTTGCTTATCGAGATTATATATAAAATTGCCCTCGTTTGCAGCTTCCCCTCCTCTCTCTCTCTCTCTCTCTTTCTCTCCCGTACGCTTTGTCTATCATCGCCGACAGCGGCGTATCGAAAATTTCGTTTCGTTAACTCGTCATTAGCGTCGGTCGAAGTACCGGTGAAGAGTTAAAAGAAACTCACACGCGGCATAATTCATACAGGCACGGAGATCAATAAGCGCGCAGCACCGCGCGCTGTCCCCGTACGTGACGTTACGTAAACTGAAATTAGAAAAAAATTACTCTCGCGTGGTACCTGTCGAGCACAAAGGACAAACTACAGAAACGAGAAGAAAAGAACGAGAGAGAGAGAGAGAGAGAGAGAGAGAGAGAGAGAGAAAAAAATCACTTAATGCGCGAGGAGATCAATCGCATCGCTGGCTCGCGAAGAGTCGCGTTCGCGTTTATCCATCGTTATCCACCGCTGTGGAATGGAAATGTCAAGAACCGCGCGCGCGAGACGGCAGGCGGGAGGAAAAGTTTCGCGTTACGTACGATTCCGCAGACAAGTGGATCCGCGTGCTGCACAAACATGCACATTCATGTGCATATACGCACCAATCATCAATGGTAATTCAAATCAAAAGATTTCGGATGCGACGAATGATAATTCACCACACACATACACACACGCACACACATACAGGGTCATCCCAATGTCCTAAATTGGCGGTGTCCCGTGCCCGCTCGAGAAACGGTGTTATAACGTCCACGTAGTACGCAATGCATCACTCCGCTCGTAAGTCAGCGGCCACTCGATAAACGCCAACGTTCACTTTTTTTCATTTCGCAATATTAATGCGGATATTAACGGAGCAGCACAACGACGCGATAATAACGTTAATTCGATCGGGGAAAAGCGAGCTGTGAAATATGCTCGAGACAGACGTAGCGGCGTGCGATATTTACGGAAAAACAAGAGGAGAGCCAATAACCGCGGAAATTAATTGCGCCGCTCGACGCTCGTCGCTCTCCTTCGCGCGGTCGACTTCTTCGGGCTGAATAATTTTTCGACTAACGAAATAAACATCTCGCGCAGGAGAGCGCGCTTTCTGCCGTCGCGGGAATTATTGAACGTCGTGATGCGATAAATTCTTGACCACGATGATTGCGGGAGACGCGGACGAGATATCGGACGGATGCTGAACTGTACGTGGCGAAATGGAAAGGCAGGGCGAGGCAGAGAGGCAGGGGGATGGGTAGCAAGATGGGTAGAGAGATAGATAGATAGAGAGAGAAAAAGAGAGAGGAAGGAGGCAGAGAGAGAGAGAGAGAGAGAGAGAGAGATCACGAGACGAGAGGAGCGGCTTAACTCCATCGATTACACTCTCGATGACCGTATTAATGTAACTTTGTGCGTGCAAACAATGCGGCGATGCTATTTGCGTTCAGTCGAGAGTTAAATTTCCAGTAAATATTGGAAGCATGTGCAATCATCGCTCGCTATATACGTTGAGTATGTTCAATGGCGCTTGATCCCGGCTAGATTTTCCGGGCACGCTCGTTTATGCGCCACGGCCATTATATCTGCATACGTAAAAAGAGACCGCTGGAGAACATTTTTGCGTAATTGAGAGCAATGAGAATCCCGCCCCATATCGGGTACTCGTGACTCGGTTTCTTTGTGTGAATCTTCTATACAAGTGTGTGTGTGTGTGTGTGTACGTGTGTATGCGTGCCTGTGTGTCATACGAGCCTTTGGCATTCGAGCTCATCGCACAGTAATGGAGCCCGAATTGCTTTTTCAACGGCGGACACTTGGCGGTGTCCGCCTAGCCTCGTCAGCCGTCGACGATGGATTCCTCATTGTTCTCGATTAATTTGTCCACGCACCTCCACGCCGCCCGCCGTTTCGTGATCGCGAGATACTCTGTGTCTCGTTCTCGCCGCGCGAGAGGACTCCGTACTCTCCTCCTCGCGTGAAGATATACGGCCAACAAATGTCGGCAGACGGAGAAGAAATCCTTGGCCAGATTCGCAGGATCTAATTGAACGAGAAGCGATATTATATATCTCTTCTTCGGCAGCTCCGATATTGTTACTTTCTCCTCTTTTCTCCTCCGCCTCCTCTCCGCCTCCGCCGCTTGCGAGTTCGCCGTTAATTATCGCAAACAATAAACGTGTTGAATCGAATGGGTTTCGAATATTCAGTTTCAGTTAAAGACTAATACGGCGGTTAATATACACGCGCGAGTTTTCGGTAAATTACCCGTAAACACGTATCGCCGAAAGTTGCACGCAATTTGTCGAAAAATTCGTGAACTCGATGGAAACTATTTAGTTCGTTCTCTGTCAATCGTCGTGCGCATATGTATACATATATTCGCGAAAATTCTCTCTCTCTCTCTCTCTCTCTATCGCTTTCGATGGCGTGTCGCATCTCTTTACTGCTATAAAGGGCAACTTTGTTGGAATTTTGCTGAAATTCGCGTTGAAATTCCGACGACGTTTTAATTGACGCGAGCGCGCATAATAAGAGTCCCGGTCGGTAATTCACGGCGACTTGTTATCCTTTCATAAATATCCACGAATCGTTTCACGCGCGACATATCGCAGATACCCTGAAGGAGAAGGGTAGAGCGAGGGAGGTAGAGAGACAAAGGGAGAGGGACAGTTAATATTTCGCGCGCGCGTGCGACTTTCATTTCGGCTAATTACACCGGCATTGTGAAATGCGCTAAATAGCCGGCAAATTCTCGGAGCCGATCCCGGCGCCGAGCCGGTGCGCGAATCAAGTTAAACGTGTAATTAGCCGCAAGAGCCACGAGCAAGCTCACACTCGCGAAGCGGCGCTCGCAGGTGACCCGCACGCGTGAGCGTTGCGTCAATTTTCGCGCCACCCTCAGCAATAACAAAGCATTGTATTCGCGATCGTCGTGGCCACCGTAACGGATACATGCAAATGAGAGGAAGGCAAACAGGGTTGGGTGGTGGAGCATAGCGGAGTATACGAGAAGCGATAAAAGTGTGAGGTAGTTCGCGTAACGCGCGGCCCGGCTTCTGCGTACTTTTGTCGCCATGAGAGCGATGAAACCGCCGTGAGCTTTGTAACTAGTCCATCGGAACTCGAAATGGGAGAATACTCCCTCTATGTCTTTCTCTCCAGCTCTGTCCTCCGTTCTTCCCTGCTCTTTTCACTGATTGTCCTCTTTTCGCGAAATCGCCGCGCGCCGGCATTGCGGTGCGCCTCGAATTCTTCAGGTGCGCGCGCTAAAGAGACACTCTCTGTGTGATATCGCACCGCGCCGATTTATATAGAGAATACACGCCGAGCGATATGAACAATTCGTGAGACTGAATATACGGGGACGGAATATTTTAGAGGACGAGTCATTCGTCTTGCCGATACGTCGGCGAATTTGTCCTTTTCTGTTCACACTCCGTGCGCCTCTTTGTTCGAAATTCACTGCTGCACAAAAGCCGTGTATGCGACATCGTTGTCGAGGTCTCGCGTGGGTACGTGTCGTCGATTCAATCGTGTGCGGAATCTTATACTTTGCAAAACGTCTCTAATGACCCGCTTCCGCCGAGATACACGCCGCGGTAACTTGGGACAACTCCGTCGACGAAGAATGAAGTTCTTCGGGGATTAAAGTGCTTCACGAAGTTCACGACGAAAGTCGAAGCTGCGTCGCTATCGACGCACGAGCTGGTGGTATTATATGGTAAAACTCCGTCTCCGGCGATTGAGCGGAGACGCTGTGGTGGCGGAATCGAAGGTAACTTCCGTCCCGGCCAGTTATTCGCGGCCGGCTATTATCTTCCAGCGCGGTCTCGTGCGGCAAAACGCGGCTGTAACGAGAGAGAGAGAGAGAGAGAGAGAGAGAGAGAGAGAGAGAGAGAGAGAGAATATCCGACGCACGAGTATGTAAATTAGTGGCGCGTTTGATATAACGACTGCGTCGCATAATAATAATGGCGGTAATAATAACATTAATACACCGGCCACGTACATGCACGGCAGAGTCCCGGCGGCCGCTCGATTTCCGCGGCTACCGTTTTCCGTTGTTACGCGGGAACGTTCGTTACAATTAACTTTCGGACAATTAATTCCCGAGGGAGGAGGTGAGGGGGAGAAGGAAAAATTTCGCACCTGCGGGACGAAGTTCCCGCTGGCGGTCGCGCGTCCAGAGGAAAAACTAGGAAGGAAATACACTCACGCGCTCTCGGGCGTGCTTACGAAACATGAAATACCTCCTCGTACCGCGAGATACCGTATCTCGCGGTTAATTCGACCAGATCCGCGCGCGGGATATTTAAATTTATGAAAACGAGCGGCTGCTTACGTCGTCGCAACCTTTGTGTACCGGGCTGGAGGATAGATCAGCGAAATAAGCTTCCTCAGAGTGAACAGCAATTTTCCACCGCGACCGCGACCGCGACGCGGCGCGGAAACGAAAGTGGATGGGATCTATCGGCGAAAAATCCGACGGGAGGAAATGCACGACGACAACGGCGGAGTGTTCGTGTAGTTGTACGCGGTGCACGATATATTATAATATTGCGTCCGATTCGTCGCTTTATTATGTAAAGCTCGTTTCCTAGTAAAGGCGAAATAAATTCGGTACGACGGCGGCCGCCGATTTGCCGGGGGATGTAGCTTACAGTTGATTTAAGAGCGATTAAGCGAGCGTATATGTCTATATCTTCCAAATATTCGGATCTCCATGCAAAAGATATTAAATCGCGATCGTCGAACGCACAACGCACGTAGGAGAAAGCGTTTGATATTGGCCATAAACTTACGGTGAAGTTATCATCGCCAGAAGAGTGAATTCTGTGATGAGTATTAATCGTTACATATAATGACGGCGATAACGGTTTTACGGCGTGCTTCTGCTGCGTTAATTTTTGCTGGAGAGCCGTGAAAAGTATAATTGATACGCCGGAAATGACTATAGTTCTAACGCGATTGATCTCTCGTTTCTTTCCATTCATTTAGTCTATTGAAACCTATCATACTGGAAAGAAAGGACTATTATCGAGAGAAGGAGCAGGACGAGTGAATTCACAAAAGAGACTCCGAGACTCCTTCGAACTTCGGAATTGCGAACCATTCTTCGAGGATAGGTAATTAGAAAGAACCTTACACTTTCCTCTCTGCAAGTGGCACATAGCGGATAATGAAATGCTCGACGGCGGTAAGTTAACGGGACTGCGATTGCTTTATCATCAAAGTAGCGCGCCATGACGAATCGATTAGGGTATATACGCGAGAACATCTTTAATCTTAGGACTCTCGAGGCTCGACGGAGGCTGGCTATTCGGAGACTGTAAGAAAGTGTCCGAATAAAGCGAACGTGTAAGCGTCTACGACCGAAAACACAATGGATGCAGTAAGCTTTCAGCCTTTTGTCCCAAGCTCAAAGCTATAATGTATTTTTCAGCGGGAGGTGTTTCTTGCGCTGTCCAAAGTCGTAGGAACATTTAAGGTGGTGCGGAAAAGGCTTTTTGTCCGAAATCACGTTACTTTTTCGAGCTTCGAGCAAAAGCTGAAGACTGAACCGTAGTCTTTTCAGCCTAACGGTAAATGCACGTACAGTAAATAACAACGCCTCGTCTCTCCCTTTCTCTCATTCTCGCTCGCTCTTTACACGTTCAATCCACTTAACCTCCGCCCTCGACGAGGAGACCGCGATGCTGTCGCGTGCGTCTGAAGTATATTGCAAATTTCGGTACAGGTCAATCGTCACTCCGCGATCTCTCTCGCGCACGTTTACGAGCAAATTCGACTGAGAAGCGAGACCCGTGGGAATCGATGGTGCCAGTCGAGCACGGAGTTCGAGATGCTGTTGGAATAGTAAATAGGATACGAATTTATGACGGGAACAATATGGACATGTATATGTTTTTTCGAGAAGAGCACATACCTTTTCGCGTTCGCATATATTCCCGCGGCAGTAGCCGCGTTCCTCTCTCTCTCTCTCTCTCTCACCTTTTCTTTCTGTTCTCCCGTTTGTTTTCTCCTCGTTACGTTTCTCCCTCATACTTCTTCATTAATTTCCTCTTATACTCCACTCTTATACTCGGTGCAGTTCACCGCGTGTAAGCTTCGCTTAAAAGAGACTTTTTAAATAAAGCGACATATAATACGTTCTCCGTCGCGGAAAAAGAGAAAGAGAGCCGAGTCGTCTACGAGCGAAATTTAAATCCTCACTCAAATTGTATTTCTCGAGAACTCATGATTGAGAAATACTCTGCGCGATACGTCTCTCATCCGTCGTTTATACGCACTTCCTGCCACTCTCGAGTAGATTCGACGTCTGTTATAAGTACATTTCTATACTTTGTCGAGTTTCAGCTTCGAAATTTCATTTCGCGATGGAGGGAACTTGGTAGTGACAGTGCTGTCCCGATGTCATGCAATTTAAATCTCCTTCTCTTCCTCTACCTATCTCTTGTCTATCCTTGTCCCTCATGCGCGCAGACGTTTGTCCTCCTTTTGGAAAATCGAACATTTTCAAAGTGGAAGTTCCGCCGCGTACGGAATAAAACGTCGTACGCGCCGCAGCGCGTTGATTTAACCCTTTTCAATTCGATAAAGACAACTATTGTCGCTCATGGAAAAGCCCTCATTGTGTGTACTGAGAGAGAGAGAGAGAGAGAGAGAGAGAGAGAGAGAGAGAGAGAGAGAGAGAGAGAGAGAGAGAGAGAGAGAGAGAGAGAGAGAGAGAGAGAGAGAGAGAGAGACAGAGGGAGGGAGAAAGGGAGAGGGAACGACGACTTCCTTCAGGCAGCCGTTAACGTTACAACCACGCCGAGACGCTCGCTGTTATTTTCGCGGAAAAATAGCTGCGTTCTTTAATTTATTCGATTACGACGGTCACGAATGTTAGCGTAAGCACTCGTTTAGCACGCTAAGCGTAATTTTTCAGCGCTCCCATTTCTTAGTTCTCTTCTCGATGTCCGTTGCGCGCAAGCCGTCACTATACACTAAAGTAAAGAGATAACTTTTTGCTCCCGCGAGAAAACAAAGTACCGAGAAACGCTTTCTAAATATATCGGACGCGCGCGGCCGCGAAGTTGGGAAGCGCGAGTATACGGCTATTTTCGCGATGCCCTTCTCTTTTTTCTCTTTGTTTTCTGTTACCGCGCACAAGCGATGCAATTTTCTCCTTTTAATTTATGGTGCTCGAATTTCACGGCGCCGAATCTCCTCCGTTTCTTTTCTCGATGTTGCAACTTCGCCGAAGCGATGTGGCTTTTACTGCCCGCGAGATCCGCGCGGAACTTTTATCACTCCGCGCATTCCCGAGGAATTTACAAAATGGCATGGAAGCCCACATCTGAATCTGATTAGAGCCCCGTTGCGACGCTATTTGCCACTTCCGCTATTCGCTTTCACGATATATGTAAGTTTGCTATCGCGAAGTATCTCTGTCACATAAGCACAAGCCATACATACACATAAATATATATACATATGTGCACGCACACGTGTATATAATATATAAATGTGTGTACGGGGCGTCTCTCGCGCACATTCTTGCGAAACTGGGTTAAGTCCCGAATTAAATTTTCTCTCATCCTGACTACGGTAAAATCCTTTCGCGTCCACGGTGAAAAAAGATTGGGCAAACTTTTCGATGCAGCATTTGCTGCGTATTTACGCGTTCCACTTTATTGCGTTCGTGCGAATATTACAGTAGCCGAGGATCCCTCTATTGTTATTTGTTTACACGCGTCCACGCATACATGTACGTTTACACGTGTGCACAAAGAGCGAGAGGAATTGTGACAATGCTGCAAAAATCGGTGACTCGCGATGAAATGAGATTCAGGAGCGATCGCGAATTAAACTTAAATTCGGATATTTCGCAATGAGCCAGGATCTTTGTTTATCGAGGGAAAAGAAAAGAGAGCTTTCTCACCCTTTCTTTCTTCCTCGCTCGCTCGCTCGTTATGCTATGTGCGGAGATTAAAACATTCCTTCGACGGCGAAATTCATTTCGACGAATATCCATTCGAATTAAAAGTCCGGAACGCAATGATCGCGCGTCTCTCTTCTTCTGTGCTTGCAGATGGTGCAATAATCTGCGGGAGCCGATGACCGACTCATGCCGCGATCCTTGCTGGAATCAGCCGGCCGCTCGTCGATCGTCGTAAGCGAGACGAGGGGAATCAAAATGTGACGCGCCATGTATCTCTGACGGTCTCGCGACAAAAGGAAGAGACGGGAGACGCGTGGCTCCGGATTTTGACGAGTGAGTCCTCCGCAGCTGGAATCACGAAAATTCGCGATCGTGCATTGTAACGTGACGAGTCGATTGTCGTTACGCGTCGGCGAGACGACGCGTAACGTGCGGAGAGAGGAGAAATTAAGGCAACGACTGGGCGGAGAGAATTCCAATTATTTTAGAGTACTCCGCCGGAAACTTTCTCCCAGGCTTCTGGCTCACTGCCCGAGCCAATTGCACCTTAATTTTGTTTGCAATGAGCACAATCGACGGTGATTTCTTTGTATCGCGTGTGCAGGGTCGTCCAATATCGCGCTCGTGTTTCGTGTCCACGGCGCACGATCGAAGACGAAGAGATTGGAGAACGTTTCGTTTATTAACGGGGAAGAGGCGGGGCACCGCCGGGCGAGACTCGAATGCGTCATGTGCTCGACGATTTTAATCACGTTACAATATTTGCGGGCAAACAAAGCTCTCGTTATTCCAAGTATACTACAAATATTGATGCCGCAAATCAACGGTTCGGCAACGAAGGGACGATATTTAGCGAGGTAAAATGTCGAATATGCCTTCAATCAACCATGCGGGCGGTCAATAGGCAGTCGCTATGAAATCGTCGGTGCTTTTCAATTTTCACGAATCGGGCACGAAAGATTGCGCGATAATATGACGTTCGCTGAAAAATTAATTCCCGTGCAACCGGCCGCCGTATTACGGCGAGCTCGAGCTCGCATGCATGGATTATTTTACGTCCGTCGCGATAAAAATTGAAATTCCCCGAATCGTACAACATTTGCTAGAGGAAAGAGAGAGAGAGAGAGAGAGAGAGAGAGAGATCGACTGCTCCCGGAAATATTTCGAAATTTCCCGGCGAGTTTTACAATTACAATTTCCCTCCGGGTTGTTCCATCCGGAGAAAACGTTCTTACCGAGGAACATCCCCGACGTAGGGCGCGAATCTCTGAGCAGTGGCCCGATTCCCGCTTACGGACGGCGTATAGTTCCCAAATATTCGACAAGTACCCTTTCGCGTTCATGCCAATTGCACCCCATTGATCGCCATTAGGAGACAGAGACGCAGCGCGGAGCTCGACCGCGGTTAACGCATCGTACGCTATCGAAATGCTCACGTCGAGAGCGCTTCGATTTGCTAATGAAGCCGCTGACGCATGCTGATACGCTCGCCTATATTCTAACGTTATTATCCATCCGCAATTGTTTTACACACCGAATCCGCGACGGGCTTGACCTCGTCGTCGTCGTCGATTATGCATGTGGTGCATGTTCCGCGAGCGGAGAGATGTCGCGATTGCGTTTTTAATGTTGGAAATACGACAAAAGTGGAGATCCCCCAACGCAGGCGGGGACCGTGTCATCATTTTATGCTCGTCGTAAAGGAAACAGAAACAGAGGAAAAGTGCCACACATTAGCGTAGGATGCGCAAGAAAAACCGCCCGGCGGTTTATACCCGTGTTTTTTTTATATAAGAGAAACTGCTCCGGTGAGTCGCGCGGAATAATACAGAGAAAACATTAGGAACGGCGGGAGCTGGACACAGTCGGTTGTATGGACGAAGAATTCTCATTTAGTTTAGATAAACAATGAGCAATTTACAAGGGAGAACCGTCAACCGGCAGACCGGCCAACAGTGCAACGGGTCGGGAATGTTATTCGAAGCGGACTTTGGAAGTGGAATCGATTGCACTTCCTGTTCTAATCAAAACTCGGAAACAACGGAGTTGCCGCAACTGACGTACTTTAATTGAGATATTCCGGTTATAAGCTTAAGCTACTGAAATTTCGTAATAGAGTGACACCGGATCAACAAGTTCGCTTCGCGAAACTATCTTCTACTTCGTATTTGTTTTTTGTCGCGATGTCACCCTCTGCCGGCGATATAACTCTGCTCCTTCTCTTCCCTTTTCCTTCGGTCATTAATTATAAGCTTAAGCACAACTGAAAGTTCGCAATAGAACAGCGACGAAAAGGATCGAAAAGAGTTTGGCGGTTCGTTAGCCAACTACTTCTTTTCTTTTTCCTTGTTTCGTCGCGACGCAGTGTTTTACCTGCTTTCTTTTTCCTCCTCTACTTTCCTCTCCTCATTAATTATTACAGATCGGAGCAAACTATGCCGCGAAACAGCCGAACAAAACGATTGCTTTGTCGACACAATCGGCAAAGAAAAAGAAGAAGAAATGGCCGAGAAATCCGGACGAAGCAGCGCGCGCGCGAGTATGTGTGTGTGTGTGTGTGTGTGTATGCGTGCGTGCGTGCGTGCGTGCGTGCGTGCGTGCGTGCGTGCGTGCGTGCGTGCGTGCGTGCGTGCGTGCGTGCGTGCGTGCGTGCGTGCGTGCGTGCGTGCGTGCGTGCGTGCGTGCGTGCGTGCGTGCGTGCGTGCGTGCGTGCGTGCGTGCGTGCGTGCGTGCGTGCGTGCGTGTGTGTGTGTGTGTGTGTGTCGAATAATTATTCCTCGCTGGGATTCGTCCGTCGCGTGCGCGAGAAAGCATTCCGGCGATACAGTCCGGCGCGCAATCGATCCCGAAATGTGGCGAAAACGTATATAATCGCGCGATTCGAGGACGCAAGATTCCCAGTCGAAACGCGCCCGTTCTCGACGCTCGCACTCGGATTCGTGCGCGAAGATCGCATAGAAGGCCGCCGCGCCGGGGCGTCACGTAAACGCTATATCGCGCCGCGTCGCGGCACGTAGAAGAGAATTTATCGATTTGCATGAAATTGATCTCACGTGACGTGATACCGACGAAAAACGTACAGCCCGATTCTCGGTGCAGGTTCACGCGCCTTGCGAAATTCCGAGCGGAGAATAGCGACCGCCCTCTTGGCTTTCATCCCGTCGAAAACGTCCCGTCGAATTCGTCCGTCAGCCCGGCTTGTCAGCCATGTTTCGTCACGAGAAGTTGACAATTTTTTAAACGCGTTCGGCTTGTTCATTCGGTTAGAGGTACGAACTCCCCTCCGGAGCGGGGCGATGGAGTTTATAATAAAATTACCAGGGACGCGCACGTCGACGTTCGACCCTGTGTGTGTTAGCGACAAGTAACTTCGTTCCCCCCTTCTCCCCGCCCACCATCCCGTTTTCTCTTCCTTTTTCGCGAAAACCTCCAACGGCACGATCCACCGGTGAGTCTCATCGGCGCGGCGACGCGGCGGAACGACGTTCTCGGCTGCGCCGGAAAAACCGATGAAAATTCACCTCGCCGCGGCGAGTTCGCGTTGCGCGTCCGCGAGGAAGTCGCGTGGCGAACTCGCCGTGAACATCCGCCGGAGACTCGGCGGCCTGCAGTCGCGTGATGATTAATAAGTTTCGCGCGTTAACCATTACGCGCGAAGTTTCAATGTTACCGGGCGGTTTCTTGGAAGGTAAAGCGCGACGTTGCGTGTGCGAAGGATATAGAATTTGTGTGTGTGTGTGTGTGTGTGCGCGCGCTTATATGCGAGCGCGAACGTGAATAACGCCCGACTGCACGCCTGACTAACGCCGCCTCTCGTGTTAATCCGCCGCGTTTGTTATTCGCGCTGCTGTTTATTAATAACTCTTGAGCCCGAATTCAGCTAATCAGTCGTGTGGCCCCGCGCGCGGCTAAATGGAGCGCAATAATGTCTACCTGGAAGCGAACGACGGCGTTTCTCTCCCTCTCGTGCTGTCCCGCTCGCCGACGAATACGAGATGCTCCAGCGAAAAGGAACGAACTCTCCTTTGCCGGGCTTGATCGGAATAACCTCACCGAATCGAGAACTCTCACAACTCTGACGACGTCGTCGACGACGACGACGAGGACGTTACGTTGTCGCCGCGAAAGTTCCCTCACGATCGCTTTAATCAAACGCGACTCGATAGTGGCGCGCCACGACGGCGGCTGCTGCTTTGGCAGCAACCCCCGGACGACGACACTTATCCGGCTGATACCCTGAGATTGAGGTTGCGCCAATTCTCCTCCTGCTTTCCCCAGCGATTAACATCCTGTCGCGATGAATGAATTTTTTCGCGTTTCGCGTCTCGCGCGATTCGCCAGGCTGCCAAGGAGAGAGAGAGAGAGAGAGAGAGAGAGAGAAAGCTCCGAGACGAGAGTCCTCTCCTTCTGTTCGCTGTCACAGCTCCTTTCGGAATTAAGTGAACCAACATTTGCCTTGTAGGCAAGCGCGTGTAATAATGAAGTTTGACAGTTCCACTCGCGCTTCACAAATTAGTCGGCGCGGAGAGACAGAGAGGAACGGAGAGAGCGAGAGGGACAGACGGCGACGGAGGGAGAGACAGAAGACGCGAGACCTCGCACGAGGATGATTAAGTACCCGACGATTTTGACACGACGAGCGGTAAATATTAGAACGGAGTTGCTCGAGGGTGCGACGTTTTCCCGGATTTCCAGGCGGTAATTGCGCAAGAGCGAAAGAGATCCCAAGGCGAAATAACGCTTTTGACTCACGATCGCGACTGTCCCGCCTGGAAACACTCGGAGCTTCTCTGAAGCTTTCGCCGAGTCAGGCTTGACTTCTTTCTTTAAGAGCGCGATATCGGGGAAAGGCGCGCAGTCTCAACGACTCGCGCGAAAGCACGTGTCTGAAAGGTCGGAAAGTGCGGAAAGTCTTTGCTCGTTATCGCCCGGTGTTGTTTTGTCGCCGCTTGACCGTTTCGTCGCTCCGCAGCGAAGCTGCGTACTCTATGCACGCGTATCGTTAAAGACCGCCGTGTATCGCCTTTATCGACGACGTTCCCAGCGCCTGGAGCGTGACAAAGTTGCGGACGCGCGCGATCGAGTCGTTGCGCGAAAATGGAAACTCGCGGGGAAACTCGTTTCCCCGTGCGGAAAATAATAGCGCCTGCGTGCGCGGCCGAATATGTGTGCCGCAATCTACGACACTGCACGATGATTTATAGCACGTCGTCGTCATTGTCGTCGGAGAGGAGGACAGAGAGAAACCGCGGGAGGTGACTTGACGTCACGATGCTCACCGGCGACATTTATAATTTCTACCTATTATCCCCCGAGTAGTCGTATAACACGTCGCCTTCATGAATCATTTCGATGATCGTTTAACGCCGCGACCGTGCCGTCATTTATTAGCCGGCCACCGGTGAATTGTCATCGTCAGCGAATGACGCGAGTGCATCTTTGTCGCGATTGCACGAAGGAACCCGTGCAGAAATTATTCATTAGACGCGACCGCGGAAGAACGGGAATTTTTTTCACCTTGCAGCGTTTCGCGAACTATTTTTCTTTTTTATGGAATTTCTCTCTTTCCCTCCCTCTCTCTTAATTTTGCTGATGGAAGAACAATTGTTGGAAATGAGAAAAAAATAATGCAATTAGCGAGGATGACCATCAGCGAGGAAGCGACAACCTACGAGATGACGAGATTGTCGCCACGAAATATTTCGTCCGAAGCCGTCCTGATCAGCCGTGATCGATCGGTCCTCAGGAAATTACTTGAATTCGCGTTCGCGAGTGCGGCTCGCTCACGAAGAAATTGCGGGCTCCTTGAAACTTTTAAATCGCTTTCACGTGCACGCACACACACTCAGCGGGCGTGTGTCTCTTTATAGTGGCGCAATACTGGATGGTTCTGACTTAAATCCTGACTCTTTCCTTATCGGTAAATCGACGTCGCGAAGTTTGGCTTGAAATAAGCGAATTGGCCAGGTGAATATATTTCCGCCACATGCGGCTGCCCGCTGCGGTGGAACGGTGCTCACATTAATATTCGTTCCCGACGACGCGACGTTTCGTCTCGTCGTCACGATCGTATTGCCCTGAAACGCGCAACGAGGACAGCCGCGAAGTCGTGCGGGACTCGTATCATGGGTCCGCTCAAACGACGTTCTTTGAACGTTGCTCGAATCGCACAAACGTTTTTCCACATACTCATTGGATTCGCCGGATTCATTGTCGCGGGTTTAATAAAGAAAAACAGACCGAGCTACGGGTACCTCGATATCACGGTCGAATCGACGAATATCATAGATACTGACAGGGGAAGAGGGAGAAATAAAAAGCGAACAAAGCGTGGTAAAAGTCGACTCACCGTTGACTGACGATCGCGTGCGCGCGCGCGTCGATGATAAACGACTTGGCTTTGCAGAGGAGAGCCCGGACGACATGAACTCGAGCGGCGAGTCCAGCGGCACGATGTCGGAGGACTACGAGGTGGGTGGCTGCGGCGTCCCGGAAGAGGAGACCGGCTCGAATCTGCCGACGTGGGAGGCGGCGGCGGCCCTGTTGACCCTGGGCTTCCTCGTGCTGGCGACGGTGTTCGGCAACGCGCTGGTAATCCTGAGCGTCTTCACGTACCGGCCGCTCCGCATCGTCCAGAACTTCTTCATCGTCTCATTGGCGGTGGCGGACCTCGCGGTGGCGCTGCTCGTCATGCCGTTCAACGTAGCCTACCTCTTGCTGGGCAAGTGGATCTTCGGCATCCATCTGTGCAAGCTGTGGTTGACGTGCGACGTGCTCTGCTGCACCGCCAGCATCCTCAACCTGTGCGCGATCGCGCTCGACCGCTACTGGGCGATCACCGATCCGATTAACTACGCGCAGAAGCGCACCCTCAAGCGCGTGCTGGCGACGATCGCCGGTGTGTGGATCCTCTCGGGTGCGATCAGCTCGCCGCCGTTGGCCGGTTGGAACGACTGGCCGGAGGAACTGGAGCCGGGCACGCCGTGTCAGCTCACCAGGCGCCAGGGCTACGTCATATACTCGTCCTTGGGCTCCTTCTTCATACCGTTGTTGCTGATGAGTCTGGTCTACCTGGAGATCTTCCTGGCGACGCGCAGGAGGCTACGCGAGCGGGCGCGACAAAGCAGACTCGGCCCGGTGCAGTCGACCAGGCATCGCGAAACCGACGACGCCGAGGAGTCCGTGAGCTCGGAGACGAATCACAACGAGCGCTCGACGCCGCGTCTGCAGGCGAAACCGTCGTTGATCGACGACGAGCCGACCGAGGTGACGATAGGCGGCGGTGCCAGTGTCACCGGCACGTCCTCCAGGCGAGGCGGTAACGCCGGCGTCGCCGCCGCCACCTCGACCGTCTACCAGTTCATCGAGGAGCGCCAGAGGATTTCGCTGTCGAAGGAGAGGCGCGCCGCGAGGACCCTCGGCGTCATCATGGGCGTGTTCGTCGTCTGCTGGCTGCCCTTCTTCCTCATGTACGTCATCGTGCCGTTCTGCCCGGCGTGCTGTCCGTCGGACAGGATGGTATACTTCATCACGTGGCTCGGTTACGTCAACAGCGCTCTCAATCCCCTCATCTACACGATCTTCAACCTCGACTACAGGAGAGCATTCAGGCGGCTGCTGCGAATCCGCTGAGGGTTCTCCTCTTCCGCTTCCGGGAGAGAAAGGGAAACAGGCCGACCAGCGTCCCTCGGTCAGCTCGTCCTCCACACGAGGATTCTCTTGTGCGACTCGAACGAGAGCGGTCGTCTCGCAACGTCGCGTCGCGTCCTTCTCCTCGCCGAGCAGCAGCAACAGCAGCAGCAGCAGCAACGGTGCGGAATCTCGCGGCTTCGATCGGCTGGTCTGTGGTGTGCCGCGTGTCTTCGTCACCCGATTCTTTTATTCCACACTCGCGGAGTCTCTTGCCGGCGGATCTGCTGAGCTGACGGAAAGAGATCGTTAAATAAGTTCTTCGTCCAGGGAAAAGCGCGTCGCCCATCGCTCGCACATTCACGCTCGTGTTCACAGTGACGCAATTAATGGCAATTTCTATGCCCCTCGCCTCGCTCCGATCACGCAGCTCTCGTTACGTTTCAGTGGTGAGACCTTAATGCGGACGGCACAAAGACGAATTACGACGAGTAAACGACGGAACAAGGAAGCGTCGCGTCTCGGGGCGAGGAAGTGAACCGGCAAGTAAGTTAGCGGATCCCGTAAATTGGCGGGACTTATTATTGTTTCAATGGCCAGAGAGAGAGAGAGAAAGAGAGAGAGAGAGAGAGAGAGAGAGAGAGTGAGAGTGAGAGAGAGAGAGAGAGAGTGAGAGAGAGAGAGAGAGAGAGAGAGAGAGATTATTCCTGCCGTCGAGACTGCTCACCGTCTCGCAATGATAATTTATTTTCGACTGCGTGTTTTAATTAAGATATCGAGCCTCTTGAGAAGCGTGAGCAATTATATTTGTGTCCGACCGACAACAACATGCCCATAATTTCTTCCATCGGAGAGGAAGTAGTAATAACGCGAGCGCCGCTCCAGCGCCAAGCGCGATTATGAGGAAGGAAAATTTCGCGCGCGAACCTGACTGAGACGATAAATCTTGAAGTCTTAACGAGCTAACAATGGGGAAAAATTCCGGATCTTCGTCCACGTCGGAGAATTCTTTTTCCAATTAACGAGATCGACCCGAGAGACGATAAAACAAGTTGGATTTAGGAAATTTTTCAAATGTCCGCAATTTTCCGCGAAGCAAGCTTCTTCCTTGCGCTCAAAATGCAATAACTATCAGTCATTATGAATTTTTTCTAAAAAAGAACGGAAGCAGGAAACTCTTTTCCTCACGTCTGTTCTCATTTCGGAAATGAAGTATACCGTAGAAATTTCGACAATCTCTCCCGGGATGATGTAACGAATTGCTGTGACTTGCATGTGAAAAGAGCGCCATGCACTCTTATCGCGCCGGAACTTTCGCGAAAATTTATTAAGGATCCTAAAAAAGGTGCTCGCCGGGAAAGTGGATGCGGTCTCATCCATGAGAAGTGCACGCAGCGTGCGATCAAGATTGGCGGCCGGAGCCGGCGCTAATCTGCCCCTTCCTTCTTTAGGAGCTTTAAAGGAAGAAAGTTGGAGGGGGAAAACTTTTCGCAGGAGTGATAAAGGAAATTGTGCTCTCCCGCGTCCGCGTCGGCTGTCTTCCAACCGAATGCTATCGTGCGACGTTCCGTCAGCGCCGTGCACGAAATTTCTCTCTAGTCCCTGTTCCACGGTTTCTCGAGATTAATCTCGCGGAAGGTGATTAACGATCGAATTTAGCGACACGAGAGCCTGTAAATACGATTTATCGCGATCAGCACATAATCCAGCATATATTCGCGGAACGCGATGAAAATTAATTTCGTCATCAGTGAAAACTCTCTCTCTCTCTCTCCCTCCCTCTCTCTCTCTCTCTCTCTCCCTCTATCTTAATCAGCAGAAACCACCGTTTTCTTTCCTCTCGCGCGCGACATTCGACACTTGATCGTGCACTTTCCGCTTCCGCGGTTTGCCGAGTAAATACAAGTGGAGAGAGAAAGAGAGAGGGAGAGAGGGAGAGGGGGAGAGAGAGGGGGAGAGAGAGAGAGAGAGAGAGAGAGAGAGAGAGAGAGAGAGAGAGAGAGAGAGAGAGGAAAGGAAGTATGCGGATCTCCGCAAGAGCCGACGTGTGCGATTTGAAAGACGAACACGTCGTTTTAACGTCGGCGAGTGAGTTGGCGAATGCGTCGGGCGAACGCGGGAACGTGCTTTTCTCATCAACGACAACGGAGAAGTAATCGTGCGTACATGTTAGTCTTAGGTTAAAACCCGGTAGAGACGTATCTGCCGATCGTTAAGTCGATCTCGCAAATATTACGGTTGTGAATAATTAATGATCCACAGAGTCTCGCGATTCGCGGGGCGTGTAGCGTTATCGTAAGGAGAAGCGGCGTCGTTCGCTTCTCTTCATCATCGTCACCACTACCACCGCGAGCCGATAACTGCGTTACTCGGCACGCGATGTTTATTTATAAAACATGGTTTCGTGAACAAAACCTGCTGCGGTGATCTCGCGCGCCGTGTCCGATCGCGACCGCACATTGTATAAAATCACATTTTAAATCGCCTCCTGATATATTTGCGTTAACACGAGATTATACTGTCACACACATACACACACACACAGACACACACACACACACACACACACACACACACACATACAAATACACAAACACACACAACGCTATATAACGCCCCAAAGCTAACGCCATGTATTTTAATAACGACTAGATTTATTCGCGCTTCTTCCACTGCTTTTTCTTCGCCGACGGTCTGGCTAGATTGTTCGTTCTCGTCGCGATTTCTTAATATTCGATATATATAACACGCGCAAAATGTATCTCGGCGACTTCATCTCGCGGCTCTCTATCCCTCTTACGACGGAAGCACGGTTCGCTTAAAATGAACGATAAATTTTCAGTTAATCCACATTTATATCCCTCGTAGCTGAAAGTTTTGCGCGATAACGACGTTTCTTACGGCAATCGAAAGACAGAGAGAGAGAGAGAGAGAGAGAGAGAGAGAGAGAGAGAGAGAGAGAGAGAGAGAGAGAGAGAGAGGTGAAACAGACTGAGTGTTTATTTAAGAATGTTTTCATTTTCCTGAAGTGATATCCCTCTAACCCAGGTCAAAAGTGTTTCGATTGTCTTCGTCGAAACTTCTCCTCTGGTCGCTTGAGGGTCGCTTGAGGGTCGCTTTTCAAGAGTGAAATTCAGAAGTGGGTACTTACTGCTCTCTCGATGAAATACATATCGATAGCGCTGAGACATTATGTAGACGTATTATACACACACACACACACACACACATGTACACATTTCTACACGTTAACGTGACACACACACCCGTAACACATACGCAAAGTACTCTTTATATGACCAGAATACAATTTAAAGTATCTTTAAAGAAATAAATAAATAAATAAATAAATAAATAAATGAGGGAACAGGCGGCGGGAAGCCGCCATCTCCTCGAGTGCCGCGCCAAACGATGGATTAGGGTAGTAGGGTAATGCGAAGGAAGGAGGGGAGAAACATAGATCGCGCAGACGGTCGTACACGACCCGCTGTAGGTTCGACCTCGTCACCAGGGCACTCTATAATAAGGTTGTGATAAGGTTGTGAGAAACACGTTCGTAGCCGTGCTACGGACGACATAAGATTTTTAATTACTAGGATAGGGAACATTTCTTTACTCGAGACATTAACTCTCCACGGTGCAGCGTTGCCTCCTACCCAAGGGATAAAGAGGAGACGAGGGAGCCAATATTAACCCCACCAACAACATCATGAGATTCGATCGCGATCTTTTTCGATAAGTGTCGAACTTGCTTTTTCCCCCTTTTTTCCGCCCCCTTGTTCTTCCTCTACTTATTCGAAAGTCTCACGTCCTGTAAAACGCTACAAGCAGTTTCGAACTTGCGCAGCTGATAGCCTCGGATTATGTCTTCGCCGAAACCGTCGCGTAAATCCCATTTGCATAAAGCTCAACTTCTCTCGTCTACCACCCCGGAACACCCCGGTGGCGCTTTCGTTATCCCACCGAGCCGCGCCGCCCCGTTTTTATTATTCAGTTGGAATTTAGGCGTCGGCTCGTAAGAATTTGCTAAACGTACGAAACCGGAGTTTTATTATCATGGAAATTCGATCTATTTCTCTCTTTCTCTCGCACTCTCGTGCTCCTTCATGAACGCCGTACATGTATACCGTACACCCCAGGCGCGGGCAAACCAGTCGACGCAGCACGTTTGATTTTATCGGCGCTCCTGTCGAATGTGCGAACGTGTATTCGCGGCGTACTCGACGGAACTTTAATCTCGGTCGCGATGTGTCCCCTTTTTTCCGATATGAGACGCAATTTATCTCGTTGTTTCGCCGCGTTATCTCGGAAACACGCGCTACTTCGCATTACTTTCGCGGGGATATTAATAATAAGTGCCAAAGTGACGTTGTACTTATATATCGTGCTTCGCTTCGGGCTAACACACGGGACGTGTGTTCGGGCATTCTTTCTATTCCTCGGCATCGCTTTCGATCGTTGTTATCGTGATCATTATTATCGTTATCGTCCTTCTCTCTTTCGTTTCGCGTTACTGCGCGTTTTTGCGTGGGACAAGGCGTTAGGTGGGCTCCTCGTACATCGATATCCTTTTGGGTAGGAATTTCAAATGCGTAGTTTATGATATGATATTATATTATATTATATATATATATATATTGTATATTATATCGTATTAACATTAATCGTATCGGCGATTCGATTCTCGACGAGCGTCCAGCGAATCGGCGCGCGGCTCGTTTCATTTAATAAATCGTGCACCTCGACTCCGTCCGTTCCGGACCCGAGTCGAGAACGAGGTCTCTTCACCCCCCTCCCCCTTCTCTTTGGTAATGACACGGACGAGTTTTGAAGAAAAAAAAGGGAGAAAAGAAGGAAAAAGAAAATGTAATTTTCAACGATGTTCCCGAGACGACACATCTGGACGAACGCCGCGAGACGATTCGTGACGCGCGTGAGTGTCTCCCCGTTATGATCGAGCCTGGTCGCTCGATATAAAGATATAACTCGTATAAAAGGATACATATGATAAATTAACAAAAAAAGATATATATATATATATACACACACACCTAGTTGGTAAACCGATACTCCGTTGGTTGTGATTTACAAGTATAGCAATACAGATATACATATACCCGTTTTTCTGCGCGCGATAATGCATCGCCGGCGGAGTTTTCCTCCCGCCTTACTTCCTCGCCCGACTTACCCTCTCTTACCGAGTAAACCCTAAACCTAAGTTCAGAGTTACTTCTTTCATTGCAAACTTCTCCCGTGTCTGTAAATCAAGAGATGGTATTTTCAAGGAGAGGCTCGAGACGCGCCCAAGTTTTTTCCTCTCTGTCCTCCTTCTCGTCCGACGGTTTTCCGCACGAACGAGTACGCGAGATACACGCAACCAGGGAGTCATTAATGACGATTTACCTTCGCGTACCAATGTATTCTTAATATCGCTTATTAGACACGCGAGATTTCTTATTTATCCCTTCGCATTGCGCGTCTCACGTACGGAAAAATACGGGTGTATGTTTTATGAAACGTGAATATATGGACGCGTTGTATGGGACGTTCGTAAAGAAGATTCATATTTTATCGCAGAGCGCGGGGGAGAAAACGCGTAAGCGCGCGCGCGCGCGAT